CACTTAAAAAGATCTTTTCTGCCAGAACATACACATTTATTGGTAAACAACTGTTCTGTATGTAGGATTTGAGGTTCTCATAGTTCTATGCTGTCCACTGAAAGTCAACTGACATTTTGGAGGAGCATGTTGTCTCCATCTTCTGGGTTGGTGAATAGGCCAAGCATGAAACCAGTATGAAAAGTAACAACCAGAGTCAAATTCTGCTATCAGGTAGTGGGATCTGCTTGCTGCCTGCTTCATGCTAGTTTCTTGCTTGGCTTTTTCTACAACTCTGAAGATGGAGGTGACATGTTCTTCTAAAATTTCAGTTGACTTTCAATGGATTACACAGCATCATATAACAGAAGACAAAACTCTTTTTAATGGTTTTGTAGTCAGTATCACTCAGAACAACAGCTATCATATTGCTGCTGTACATTACCAAGTGCTTATTCATTTAATTTGCCCTAATAACAAGCATTTCAATTCTCAGAAAGTAAGAACATGAAAACTGAATAAACATTAGAACAGTACTATAATTTCTATTTCAGTTTCTGACATTTAACTTCTGAAAGTTGAAAGTGTTTAGTGGGTATAGTAACATTTCAAGAACTGTAGGTCACTATTCAGAAATTTAAAAGCAACTTCTGCTTAGGTGTAACATTTTAAATCAGAAATTGTCTTGTACACCAACTTTTTCACAAAGAAGGGGTAGTATCACATACTGTGACTTAGAAAGACATTAAGCTTAATGTCCTATTAACAGAAACTTTTGTTACTGATGTCATTCAAAGGGGTTAATTTGATAAGTTCTTTCTTTACATTTGGTTGCTAGACTCAAATGTCATTCATCCACATTTAACAAAACAACACACAGAGGTTCAAATTAAAAAAATAATGTAGGGTAGAACAATTTGTGTTTCAGGATCAAAAACATATGCACTGTAAATCTCTGTAGCCATATTTTCTGTTCTCCTCACTCAATGGTAAACTTTGCCATAAAAACTACTTATGAAAGAATACAATAGGGTTGACCATGAATACAAACAATATAATATGCTTTGGCACTTTGGTTGAATAGAACAGGGCTACATCTCTCTGTGTACGTGTATGGTTCACATGTTGTACATTGTTTACATATTCCTCCACTTCATTATTTGGAACATCTTGGATTATTAATACTGTACAAAGAAACAAAACTGAAATTTATGTGTAAATATAATTTTAAAATGCCAATTCAGAGTAACAAAGTGTAGGGACAGTATTCCACTACCTTCCTATAAATCCAAAAGCACATTGCTATTTTCTTCCAAACTAATGAAACCCATACCAATGACGAAGTAGGAAAACATGCAATATAGCAAAATGAAATAAAAACATGATGCCACAATAGACCAATTAACATCCTCTCATGTATTCAGAAAAGTGCATACTATGCTGCCATCATAAGTTTCAACACTCTGTCATCTAGTCTCAGAAGTCTTATGAATGAAAATTCACAATTTAAAGCAGCACTAAAAAGCAACTTAAACAGACACTCATCCTGCTATGTTGATGAATTTCTATCTTATAAAAATTACTCATAATCATTTTAAAGTTTGTATAAACAACATAAGTGGACAGTATTGATGTACATGTGTGGTTCTATTTTAAGTGTCTGAATACCTTACAGGAACCAACCCTCTGTGGATTTTATGTGAAAACTTTAGTTGTATTATATGTATACATTTTGTGATTTATAACTTATTCCACATCCTACAAAAATTTCTGACCAACTTTGGATCTGTGCAACATGTGTGTGTGTGTGTGTGTCTGTATGTATTTATGTATGTATATATGTGTATAAGAAGCACNTGTGTGTGTGTGTGTGTGTGTGTCTGTATGTATTTATGTGTATAAGAAGCCCCATTCATTAAAATCATGGCCAGTACTAACTGTTACTAGCTTCAGCACCTGCATATACAAGATGTCACAGATATTGTTACATACTTTTACCGACAGAGAATTAATGTTACAGAAGTAATATTTGTATTTATAAGCATATAATCATACAATGTGACTTCTGTAACAAGAACATAATACTTTTTGAGTCCTGAGCTGAAGTTCTTCCCTGTTATAAATTAAGATAACATAAACTCTGTTTGACCTTGCAGGAATAAAAAATTAAAATGTATTACTTCAGGAGTTAACTTTTCCACAAACACATAATTATTATGACTAACTTTTTCTCTGAGATGTGGTTGGCCTCTCTTTTCAAACAGCCACACTACATCTTTGAGATGTTTCTAAGTTCACTTCGATTGCAGTATTATTTCATCTTGTCACCAAAAGACTTACACTCCTTTGGTTCCTACTTTGTACAAGGAACATATTTTATTTATTGAAATACATCATAGATCTAAAAATAAGAAATTACTGTAATGGAGAATTTCTGAAACTTAAATACAGCTGAAAGGCCACACAAGTTACCATTTAAAGACGTAATCAGAAGGTTAAACCTCTGGTGGACTTATTATTATTCGCAAGGTTCAACGGAAATTCACCTGAAATGAAGTATTCACATTCAACTGAATAACTCAATCCCATTAGAAGTACAAGAGAGGGAATCAGTAAACTGGGAAGTATAAGCTTTCACGTTTTCAAGGTGGTTTTCTGGGTTGTGACACTATCCTTGTAATCTGCCTATGTAAACCAACCTAATCCTCAGTGAAGACAGAAGCATCATGTCCCTCTGAAACAATGGTACTGACATCATTTCACCTTCTACATTTCCTTTCCTCCACCGTAGAGTATTACAGTAACTGATTGAATTCAGATGAAATAAAAATACCTGGATTAATTTGATGCCACATGCTAATGTTCCTGATTGGGTTTTACAGAATCAGGAAAAAGTATAGGTGTGCTACAGCAGTCTGTTATTCAGTCAGTTTTGTATGAAGTTCTGAGGGGTGTTGGAATGGCTGCAAGTTTCACTGAATAATAATTCATTCATTAGGGTTATTGAATGAAATACTCACTGATTTAATGGACAGGTGTGATATACACAACCATTCGATAGTAACGACCACAGTCTTATGATTATGTTCTTCCTGTTTACACTAGTATTTAATTCAAACTCCAATTAAATCAAATAAAAAGATTTACCAAGCAGAAACACTAGATTGAGCATTTATGAAGTTTTAGGGGAAGACTTTAAATCATGCAGTGCACTTAACACATGTCCTTACAGAACATGAGTCCAATGATGGAACAGTGAGAACTGGTCTATGTTGGCCATTTCAAAACTACCTGTATACAAATTCAAATTTGTGTCATAGAAACAGCATTGTAATCTACATTGTTGGTGAAACTGAAATTGTGGGCTTCTCCACAGTGCTTCTATTATAATTTCTGTCAGTTCTTTAAACTTAATTACTTTACTGGTCAAATATACTGATATCAATAGTTTTCAAATTAATTTTTCTTAAGACTTCACGTAACCTTTACAAAACAAAGCAAAAAGGGAATTTCACATCATTTTCTTCACAAATCAATATGATGTAGCTAGATTTTGAATAAACAAATAAATGCAAATAAAGAAGAATTAATTAATCATATTATCAAATTATTTATAGGTCTTGGAGAGATCAATATCAGTGTTCACCTATCGCAGAAGACCACAACCTGTTGAGGAGGAAGGTATTTACTTAACTTATATCCAGTCTAGATCTCTAGATCTCTGGATCTCTCCCATTCTAATTTTCAAATCTTTGAACAGCTGAACTGCAGCTGGTTGCATGTAACTGGTCTCATGAGAAGAGTAATGAATTATATAAGAAAGGCATCCAGTACTTGGTGATACTGTCTCATTACTTATGTTACCTCTGCATGAGTGGATCAAACAGATCTCTGGTATTCACTGTCAAGAAGGTTTCTATTGAACCTCAATCTTATGATTTCAATCTTTCGGTTACTTGCATTTTTGTAGTACTTCCAGCAGTTCACTCTATGTATAGCAAAGAATTTTTAAATATGGCTTTATGTTATTATTGATACTCTGTTACTGAATTTCCTGCTCTGAACATTAAAATACTAATAAAGTCTATAAGAAAAAAGATTTTTAAACATATGATGTGCCTAGTACTGGCTTAGGATAGAATTCAAAGGAACTCTTTGTAGAGGTTGTAATAAACTTTCATGCTTTATAATAAGAATATATTTCTTTATGAGCTCCATAACCAGAGATCGATATGTGTTTCCTCACCTTATGGCTCAGACAATTATTTTATTCATCATACATCCCTTCAAAACAGAAACTGCATCTATCCATATTGTAACCGTAAAACAAGAGGTAAAGCTGTCCCTGTAACAGGCCGTGGAGGCCCATAACATTGTGAGACATCAAGGCTCCCAATTTTTTTTCTAGACAATCAGTNTGGCTCAGACAATTATTTTATTCATCATACATCCCTTCAAAACAGATACTGCATCTATCCATATTGTAACCGTAAAACAAAAGAGGTAAAGTTGTCCCTGTAACAGGCCGTGGAGGCCCATAACACTGTGAGACATCAAGGCTCCCAATTTTTTTTCTAGACAATCAGCCCATAGATGGCAGTGAGGTTGTTAGCCTTACATGTCAGCCACCCTTTATCCCAAGAAAGATTCCTGGTTCTCATTTCTGTTAGAGGTTGAGTCGACCCCAGGGCTATAGTGCAGTTGGAAGAATTAGGTCAACTGAAAAATTTACTGACCTCAGAGGGAACCCACTGCCTTCCAGCTACTAGCATAGTGCCTCAACCAACTAAGATACCAAGTGCCCCCTGCTGTAATTGTATGTTAATCTAATATTTTTCTTACTTCTTGATATTCATGACAGTGTTATGTCAACAAAGGTCCTCATACTCATGCCAGTTACAAATTTATTGTTCAACAGCAATTGGAGTGCAGTGTGGGAGGAAGGAGAGAATTTTAATGAATATGTTCAAGGACTTTTCAACTCACTGGCCTTGATTTTTTCACCAATCATGAACAAGTGTACGTGTGTGTTTGCTGAGCTATGTCAATGAATACTGCACACTCATAAATGATTTTGAACATGGGAGGTGGATTGTTACTGCAAAACCTGCATGTGAATATGGCAAAATAAAAACAAATATCAAAAGTAATAAAATACTCATGTGAACAAAATATTTACCATTCTCCCCCATCTTCTTACATAAACATAAGGTAATTCATTTTCTTATAACAAAGTTAAAGCTTAACCTCTTTCTGGAATCCTCGCTAGTGGCTCATAAATTTATAAAGTAAAACTTGAGTTCTTCCCCAGCACTGGCTATATATCTAAACACCCCAGCTTCTGTTTCTCAATAACAGTACCAAAATATGAAATGCACTCAAATGCAAATGCTGAGAAGCAAATGTAGACAGTACCATTCAAACAAAGAAGAAAAATGTCACGTAACTTCCTAAATTTGTACACGATTCTGAATAAAAATTGTGTGAAGCAAAACTGTATAAAGTAATGTATTCTATGTGTAGAGATGATAGACATTTAAATATATTTAGAAATGAAACAAAAAAAAATACAGTACATAATGTTTAAGCTAGCTGAAGTTCTAGAGAGCATGCACATAAAACCAATGTATACCATGCACATATGCACTTATGCTGACTGGAACCAAGCTCACAAAATACATTAATTTTTGTATGTATATATGTTAATGAAATACAATTACCTCATTTTACATGCACCAAACTACTGCATGACTGCTCATTCATATAGATCATAATCAAAACTCGTTATAAATAAAATTCTAATTCTATCAAGGAAATAGCTAACAGATGCAGTTATTTGTGACAGATCTGTACCTGACTGACTTCCAGATTGCTCAACTTTGAACCACGCTTGAAGTCATTGTCATTCGGACGTGTAGAGTTGAGCATGATATCTTTCCGGGTTTCATTGTTGATGTTGTTGGCTCTTTCTCGTGAACGTTTCACACGAAAGCGACGATACATCACAAACAAGAGGACCAAAAAACATAGGAACAAGACAGCTCCTATAATGCCCACTACCTCTTCCCATGTTACATTGTAGATGCTAGATGTGATTGGTGTGGAATACAGTGGACTTGAGCAGTGTAGCCCTGTCACATTGGGAGGGCATACACACCTGCACAAAGAAAAGCAGATTGTTTGCAACTGTCTTCCACTTTGTATTGCACAGAGTTCTGTTTTAATTATCTTTCTGCAGGAAAAATATGCAAGAGGCAACAAGTGCTCCTTGTAGAACTGTCCATGCTAGACAGGACAAACAGGAGGAGCCGGATATGGGCATGATGCTAAAAACTCACTTAACAAAATAATGTGCATTAAATAAACTTAATGATGGATGCTGGATAAGAGAAGAAGTGTCATATCTCCTAAAGGAGGCAAGGTTCCTTAGAAGATCACAGAGCCAAAAAGTAAGACAATAACTAAGTCCTTAGTTCTTAGTGGCCTCCGTAGTCTAGGGGTAACGTTCCCACCTCATAACTCAAGGTATGCAAGTTCAAACCTAGCGGAGGTCGTGGAATTTTTAAGGGTGGAAAAATTCAGGGAACAAGTCCTCCGGGAGGGACTTTAAGCCGTGGGTCCCATGTCGTAGATTTACGGCACGTAAAAGATCATCATGTCTCTAAGAGACCTCTGAGCAAAACTATTAGGTAAAAAGTTTCCCGCCCAAATGGTTTGCAATGCCTCGAGTAGATGGGTAAGCATCGGGTACCGCAGCCAGCCTTGCTGGCTGAATGGGGCTGATAGCAAGCACCAGTACCGGCAGGGTATGGAGACTGGTAGAATATTAAAGGGGGACGTACAATAGACTATTAGTCGCGGTGCATGGGGAAACCCACCCCCTCCAACAATAATAATAATAATAATAATAATGTCTTTAGTTCTTCCACAGTGACGTGGTTCCTTTCAAAGCTTTAATATGTATTTTGTTAAGTAACTTGTCATGGACAATTTGTGAATATTTCAAACTTTGAAAGATGGTAACCATACCAATTATACAGTACAATTAGAGAGTAAAAAGGAAGTAAAGTTGTCCCTGTGATTAAAAGATTAAACACAATGACATGAAGACATATAGGGGAGTGAAGGTATAGCTCAACCATTCTTGACCTCGGCACTATATGGAGATGAGTGGCCAGTTTCAAGCCCTTATTGCTTTACTGCTAGGAAAAAAGCCACTGGCACCCATTGTATAGGATGCCAGGTGGGCCCCAGAGCTGGTCTGGACCTTGCCCCTGCCAGGAATTGATCCCTGGCAGTCCAGACCATAGCAATAATTATAGAGTTGATACCATAAAAGAATTGTTTGTGTACATACCGATAGCTGCCAGGTTCATTGATGCAGGTGCCACCATTAATGCACGGAGAGGCTTCACATTCATTCATATCCACAGCACACAGCTCTCCAGTAAAGCCTCGACATTTGCAGATAGGTCCAACATCACCTTCTTCACAGACTCCACCATGGCGACAAGGATTGGGACTACAATAACGTCCATACTCACACCGTTTTCCCACCAATCGAGGTGGACATTCACAAGAGAAATCACCACTTGCTGCTTGGCATCTTCCTCCATACAGACATGGCGATGATGCGCAAGGATCAGTGTCTATCTCACATAAAGTTCCAGAAAATCGGGCATGACATTGGCATTCAAACAAATCGCCACCAATATCAATGCATGTCCCACCATTCAAACAAGGTTGTGATCCACATACACCAGGTGGGGCAAGTGCCGTTGCAGGGTCACAACTGAATTCCACATTCGCAAAGCGACGTAATACTGCAACACTACTTGCACCGCTCATATGCAATGGCACTGAAACTCTTGCAACACGAACATCATCCATACAACCACGGAAACCTCGCTGAACATCCTCAAAACCCAATATGGTTGGGTGCTGCCGAACTTCAGCACCCAGATAGAGGTCATCTGACTGAAGGTTCAATACATCATTTACTCCAGGGGCAGAACCATGGGCTACATGTTTGCCATCTACAGTGACACGGGCTGTGTTACTCTCCCGCTCCAGACGTATCTCATGCCACTGCCCATCACTCACATAGATACTGCTCACACGCACCATCCCCTCACCACTGCCCAAGTCAAACCGATACTGCACCACACCATTTACGACCTGAAACAAGAAATGTAGTTTTATATTTTTTCATTCCATCAACATAGTCTATGTCCTGATATACTGTACATTACTGGTTTACAACATGTTTCAGCCTTTCAGCCATTATCAAGTATTATACATGGACTTTTGACTTGTCTGTTTTTTTTTCCTTACACTGGCTAAATTTTACATATGAGCATACACATATGAACTGATTTGATGGAACCAAATGAAACACACAATATGAAGCTCCAATACAATATTTCTAATAAAAATAGTTTTCTGTCAATTGTTATTTCAAATTTTATCATCTTTTACCTTTAAGGATTTGACATTGACACTTCCAACAAACAACTACTCTCAGACAGTGCCTCTTTCAAACTATTGGAAGAAATCACAGGAAAACATGTTCTAAACAGGATCTGCATTCTTGAAACATGTCCAGCCTAACCTGCATGGCCACTATAGTTGGCTTATTTTAAACTTCTTAGATCTAAAGAATCAAGAAGAATGAGGTACCTGGAAGAGTAATGAAAAATGTAAGCTATGCACAAGCACAGTGCACTCAAAAGACTGGAACACTGATAATAAAGCGCTACAACTTTTCGCTTTTTTCAATAATGTAGGAAATAAGCTGTTTTGCCTAAATAAGGTATGCCACTCACAAATGTAACAGTAACAAAGTTATAACATCCGTATCTTCTCATTATCCTCTATTTTTCTTATGCAGGACATATGCAGCTTCACATAATTATGATATCTGAACAAGAACAAACATTTATTCGCTAATGACATGTCATATTCTCTCATTATGGTCAATAAATTTATTAAAACACTAAGAAAAATCAAATAAATGTCTCCATGGCCTTAGGAAACACCTGAAATCCCAATTAATACCCAGGAAAACCATTACTTTGATGTATAAAGTACTTATAAGATCAGTGCTATCTTATGCCTCTGAGACCTGGCCACTGTCAAGATTGGATGAAAGACTGTTAAGTATATTTGAAAGGAGAATCTTGAGATATACCTTTTGGACCAGTGGAAGAAAAGGAATATGAAGGAAGAGGTATAACAATGAGCTATACAAACTATTTAATGAACCAGACATTATTGGATTTATAAAGGTGAAAAGGCTTGAATGGGCTGGACACATAATACATGCCAGCGAGAATAGAACCATCAAGAAAATGCTTAATACTAAACCAGAGGGAAATATGAGAGTGGGAAGAACAAGGTTAAGATGGGAAGAATGCGTGTGCCAGGACATAAGAATTTTGGGTGTAAAGAACTGGAGGAATGTAGCATCGAATGGAGAAGAATGGCAAGCAATCCTGAGAAAGGCCAGGGCTCACAAAGGGCTGTCGTGCCAGTGATGATGATGATTAAGAAGAATGTGGAAGCTAAGCAATGCACTATTTTGGCTCAAAATTCAATACACAAAACTGTGAATAGAAAATGTTTGTGGAAAGATTTTCAATTATCATTTAGAAAGTAACTGACAGTAAGTTTTCTTTTCTGTTACCATATCCTTGTTGACTAGCAAGTGGCCCATTTCCCTTTTGTGATGGAAAACAATATTATTGCTATGAAAACGGTCATCCAACTATCTGGGATTACCAGTGGCATGGACTGGGCTCAGTTTCCTTTACCCCTCCCATGGGTCTCAGTCTGCTTATTCATAACATATCCGATTCCTTACCTTACACACTCCAACCCTGAAGAAGGAGCCAACACATTCCTCCAAAACCTCAGTTATGTGCACAAAAGACTGCATGATGTCACAATGCAGAAGACAAACAATTTTACGAAGTAAGGAACAGCTTACCTACTGTGTCCTGAACAACTACATGAGGCAATCCAGAAGTTTCCAAAATTTGAATTTTGCGTGCGAATGGTTATGAGTCCATTGAAATACCACTAGGTGTCTCCTCACACATCCTTTTTGAATCAGTGTGGCAAGCGACGTCAAGTTGAGTGGTTGGGTTTATTGTTGGTGAACGTATTTCCATTGTTGTGTTTCCGTGAGTTTGCGGTTTTGCGATGGCTGACCTGAGAGAGCAGCGTGTCTGTATAAAGTTTTGTTTCAAACTTGGGAAAACCACTGCAGAAACGCACCAAATGTTGAAACAAGCTTCTGGTGAAAACAGTTTAGGCCAGAATCAAACTTACAACTGGTATAAGCATTTTAAAAATGACCGAAAATCGGCTGATGATGACGATTGTTCGGGACGGCCGTCAATGGGCAAAACACCAGAAAA